CTCGAAGAAGATTGCTTTGGAGAGAATATAAACCAAACGACAAATGGCGAAACGGAATTCACGTGGGATAGATTTTTGAATCACTTCTTCACTCACTTTCACTCAAAATGGAAGTGACCTTAACACCCGCAAGTCAAAATATTCCTCAACGGCTAATTTTTCTTCGTATATTTATTATCTTTGCCCAAAGATACAGCTGACCAAAAGATCGTCATACAGGGAATGTCACGTCTGCCTGACACGAGGTTTGTGGCGATCACATCAAACAACCGAACCAATGGTCGCACAGAGACTGAGAGTTATGGACAGGGTGCGCGAATGAAGTATCAGATGGAGACGATACACCTTTCTCAGCTGAAGGCCAGGGCCCTAATGAATATGCACAACCGTAAAGCTGGCAGACGAGTAAGTTTTAATGCAATAACGAGCCAAGAAATAGACCTTATCGAGTGGTAACGGAGGCTGTTTTTTGAAAATCTGTACCATTATTCCCTCAGTGATTCAATGACTGATAGTTAGGCCATCAGCGTAACAATAATGGCTTCAGGCCCATCTCAATATAAACAAAGAATATGTATCGAATATCCAGTTATTATACTCTGCCACTCGGCCGCACATATTGAGGGAAAAAGTCTCTAATGACTTTAAGAGAAGTCATACCTATTGCGTTTCATACTGATTCAATCAATTATTGGAGCCTGAAACGTCATGACGGCATGTAAAGTCCATGTGTCCTTTCCAATACTCAGCCAGCAACATGCCTATCTTGATTAGGTCCTTTCCATATCATCCGCTTTTATTTCCTAAGGCTTTTTGTATATCATACCAAAGTAATTTATTGAGAAACGGGGTAAATTAGAAAAACTTGTCTAAATATCAAGTACTGTGGATAGAGGATAGAGGATAAAGCATTAAAAAAGAAGATATTTCGATGCTGACTTAACAAGTAGAGAATTAATAACATTGTCAGAAAAGATTGAATCGCGAAGGCTTGGGCTAAACTATACACACAGAGC